AAGTTGCAAAGACTAAAGTCTCAAATCCAAAGAGATATTCTTTATAAAAGTTAAGAGTCAACCACGCCTACCTAAAACGGTTCGTTCTAACACGCCCCCACACATATCTATGTCACGATGTGGGAAGATTTGCATAACGCCGCCCAAATGTTCACGTAAAGAAAGAAGGCGTAACTTTTATTCTCGCTGTAGTATTGTTGACGCTGCAGCCATGTCGTCAAGGCGCTGTGTGATTCGTTGTGAAACTACTTTGTAAAGACAGTATAAGTCATTATAATCCGTAATTATGTCCCCACTGGATGCAACAAATGCCTCGTTTCTAATGGATTTTATTGGTTTTGTCTCGTCGCTCCGGCCGGACAGGGTATCACAATATAGTAAGGGCAGTAACATTTCCGTCTCACGCTTGAGGTATTCGGCCAATCACAACGCACTGGATAGCTGGCCAATCAGAGCACACAGTCGCTTTTCAGACCGATGAGCTTTGTAAAAATCGACGCGTTTCAGAAAGGCGGGGCATAGAGGAGAAACAATAATGAAGATAATAAGGAAAATAATGTGTTTTTTAACCTTAAACCGCATAAACACATGTCATTACACCAAATACACAAAATAATGTTATTTTTAGCAACATCATATGACCCCTTTAAACGGTAGTGTATATGTATAGTGTATTTATTTTTTCTTCTTTTTTTATTACTCACCAAGTTCAAGTGAGTACCAAAGAAATCCCTCATAAAATAATGATTACATGACATAAAGAATTGCCCTCCTAAATGTCTTTGTCTTTCATTCTACACAGTTTGAGAAGGCCGTGAAGCACTTTGGTGAGGACGCCACACGCATGCAGCCCGAAGAGTTCTTCGGCATCTTTGATCAGTTCCTACAGGCATTCAGTGAAGCTAAACAGGACAATGAGAACATGCGACGACGCAAGGAGGAGGAAGAGCGCAGAGCCCGCTTGGAGGCGCAGGTAACGTATCAAAAAGACAGTATAAGTCATTATAATCCGTAATTATGTCCCCACTGGATGCAACAAATGCCTCGTTTCTAATGGATTTTATTGGTTTTGTCTCGTCGCTCCGGCCGGACAGGGTATCACAATATAGTAAGGGCAGTAACATTTCCGTCTCACGCTTGAGGTATTCGGCCAATCACAACGCACTGGATAGCTGGCCAATCAGAGCACACAGTCGCTTTTCAGACCGATGAGCTTTGTAAAAATCGACGCGTTTCAGAAAGGCGGGGCATAGAGGAGAAACAATAATGAAGATAATAAGGAAAATAATGTGTTTTTTAACCTTAAACCGCATAAACACATGTCATTACACCAAATACACAAAATAATGTTATTTTTAGCAACATCATAGGACCCCTTTAAACGGTAGTGTATATGTATAGTGTATTTATTTTTTCTTCTTTTTTTTATTACTCACCAAGTTCAAGTGAGTACCAAAGAAATCCCTCATAAAATAATGATTACATGACATAAAGAATTTCCCTCCTAAATGTCTTTGTCTTTCATTCTACACAGTTTGAGAAGGCCGTGAAGCACTTTGGTGAGGACGCCACACGCATGCAGCCCGAAGAGTTCTTCGGCATCTTTGATCAGTTCCTACAGGCATTCAGTGAAGCTAAACAGGACAATGAGAACATGCGACGACGCAAGGAGGAGGAAGAGCGCAGGGCCCGCTTGGAGGCGCAGGTAACGTATCAACAAGCATGCACTGTGTCCATCTCAAACACATGCACATGCAGCCGCTTAGCAAGATCCTCTATAAAGGTGTTGTACTAACACTCTAAGCAAAAATCAGTCAATGCTGTAAGCTGCATTCTATATACTATAGTAAATTTGGGGTCGGTAAGATTTAAGTGTTTTTGTTTTGAAAGAAGTCTGTTATTCTCAACAAGGTTGCATATGTTTGAACAAAAATAAGTAAAAACAATAATCTTGTGTCTATTATTACAATTTAAATATATTTGATGTATTGTAAAATGTAATTTATTCCTGTAATACAAAGCTGAATTTTCAGCATCATTACTCCAGTCTTCAGTGTCACATGATCCTTCAGAAATCATTCTAATATGCTGATTTGGTGCTTAAGAAACATTTCTTATTATTATCAATGTTGAAAGCAGTTGTGCTGCTTAATATTTTTGTGGAAACTGTGATCAGTTTTTTCATGATGCTTCGATGAATTAAAAAAAAAACCTTACTGACCCCAAACTTTTAAATGGAAGTCTGTGTTTGTCAAAAAGCTTGATTTTAGGGGAAGTAATTGTGATTTCACTTGTTGTCACAGTCACTACTTGTGATTACTTGTTCATGTACACCAAGTCGGATGGTCGTCTTTAGCTATTCTGTCAAGTCTGTTTTTTTTCGAACAATTTTTTTAATACATTTAAGACATTTTAATAATGTGCCGTATGTAAACGCATACGCGAACACAAAATGCAGCTCCTGTAATTTAACAGTAAAAATCCTTGCCATTCAGCAAAGTGAGAATTCATCAAAATAAAGGCATGCAACAAATTGAGGAGAGAGAGGTTATAAAGAATGTCTTTCAAATACAAAAAAGTAATCTGCCTATAGTGTACACTGTGTAGTATGCAGTGCTTTACCATTCCATTGTACAAACGAAACACCTTCATGCAACACAATGACAGGAAAAATGTACATATAAAATATGTCTGTGAACAGCTCAAGGAACAACGTGAGAAGGAAAGAAAAGCCCGGAAAGCCAAAGAGAACTGCGAGGAGGATGGAGAATTCGACGACCTGGTGTCAGCACTCCGATCCGGGGAGGTGTTTGACAAAGACCTATCAAAGATGAAACACAACCGCAAGCGTCCCGTCAAACAGAGTGCAGAGAGCAGCAGAGAGAGGCCCATCACCAAACTCAACTTCTGAGGAAGCTGCTTGAGTGAGTGCTGCCTCCTGTTGGTAGAGCTGAGACGTTACACCTGCGTGCACAAGCTCTCTGTTTAGAGCTGGAGAGGATATCCAGGCCCTGCTCTGTGCTGACTGCCAAGATGCTTCTTAAAGATTTATAAAGTATTTTCTAAACATGTAAATCAGATGTTATAGTGTTTGTGTTGACGATGACAGGAGCCACTATGGTGCTTGTGCACCATAGTTCACAGAAAGAATGAGCAGAAAGGGCTACAAACTGATGCTGAAATTCAGAAACACCTTTTTTCACAGTTTTGCTTGCCTGACAACCATAAACCCCATTTATATCTGTCTGCTCAGTGCTCAGATACTGCATACATTTTTGTTGAGTTATTGTTGGTGTTCAACGTGCACTATCAAGAAACAGGCATGGTTTTGCAATATGCGGTGTGGTAAACACTAAATGTCAGTGTTTTGGAAGCAAAAGTGAGTTTTGTTCAATTGTGGGACACAAATAATAACCAGTGATACTTGTATATCATTGGATGTTGAGGTCTGATTGTAATGAGTATTTCCTTTTGTTACATTTGTAACGCAAGCACAAGCGATTGTTTGTTAATAAACTGTCCATTCCAGACCTGTTAAAGCACAACGAACAACTTAATATCCAGAAAACAACCTCTTGTATAAAATGTTAATGAAATGAAAGTGTTTATTATAAATCTACAGATGCCATGTATTAAATGTACTGACAGGAAGTTTAGTGGAAAAAATATGCTGGTCAAACTTTGATTGCAAATATATTTTAGAGGATGACAGAAGGACACAATTTCCTTTTTTTTCCCCGCAGTTACCAAAAAGAACATTCATTAAAAAGAGCTGTGGATGCAAAACCTGCCGTGCATGTATATTCTTGTAATTTCTTTTGTTTATGTTTAAGGTTGTATATATGTACATATACCCATTGTTTACTCTTTTGTCCAAGGCTTTTTCTTAGTCCTTGACACTATTATTCTGTGCTAATATTTTTTTTTTCCTGTTGATCGGATGCCATTCAATCTTTTTCACTAATAGTTCTTTGTAATATTGCATTACTTTGTAATAGCTTCCTCTATTGGCAGTATTTTTTTTTATTTTCTTTATTTAAGAATTCATTTGGATGTGAGAAGTAATCAATAAATAAACCCTGAGGGTCATTGCATTGGTGTTTGACTGCTGACTTGTCTTCAGTTTCGCAACCTGAAATTTCTTGAATTCTTGAATTGCAAGAAGATTTAAGGTTAGCAAAGTGCTTCACAGCCATAATTACACAACACTGAACTTAAAAAAAAAAAGAATTGTTAAAGAGTGATTTGTGAATAGTAATCAAACATAAAGCCAAAAATGGATAAAACATATTCAAACTTTTATTTCAGGCAAACCGCTTTCAAAGACAATGTATGGCAATGTTTATTTCATAATAGCTTGTCTGAAATCTTAAATGTCTTTGATATTTAAAAAAACTAGTAATTTTAGTATTTGAAAATGATAATGCATCTCTCTCCTATTACTGAAACCAACAAGGTTTTCAAAAAATTAATATGACTCTTATATGCCTGCTTATACTGTCTCTAAAATACATCTGTTTCAAGGAAGGTTTCACATATAAAAGACCCTGTGCTTTTGTTCGATTGGATTATCAACACAATATACCTCTCTAGGTCTCTAAGGCTGGTCTTACACTGCTATAAATACTGATGAATGTTTGCAGAAAAAGCCAATCCAAACTGATTTTTATAAAATATAAAAGACTAAAAAGCACTGATATCTAGAAACATGAATGGCGGTTTAACCCTTTACATCAAACTAATAAAGGGCAGTCTGATGCTACAGTCATATAAAGAATTTGATCAATTCATGCTCCAAAGTGGCAGCCTGAAATATTAAAAATTGATATAGAGATTGTTCCAGATATTTAAATACTGACATTAATTTATTTCTGTATTCTGTAAACCATGCTACATCCAACAGGTAAGGCAGTCTGTTGGTTGTATTTGTTACATGTTTTATGTTGATCTTCCAAAATCTCAAAAGAAAAGATCTGGTTTTCCCCTCAAAAATATGATCAATTATTTAACAGAAATGTATGCTGTTTACAGGTTACCCCATTCCTATTTTATTTGACGTTTTCTGTAAATGTAGTTTGATTTTGAGATCTTTTTATTACAGTATAGCGGGTATATTCTGGATGCCTATATTTTAAAAACTGAAGTGTGTAAACCTAAAAGCAAAGACAATCACAATGAAAAGAAAAAGTTATAGCCCTATTTCTTAAATGACCGTGTCATTATGACAGATTGTTCAATTAAAGAGTTATAAAATCCTCTCACCTCTTGTAAGTTTATATTCCAGGGCAGCGTTAACACCCCAGAGCAGATGATGAACAGCATGAATATGGCTTTGTGAGAGATTTCTGTAAACCCTTAGGTTCATTCACAGTGTTGTAAAGCATTTGCATTAGGCTCAAGAGTGACTTTCATCTTGGCACTTGGCACACACACAGACACACACTAGTCTACACACTTTATCTGCTGATTCATTACACTAATGAACTCATGCTTGGAGAGTTTGGTTTCAAATGTAGGTTGATGGAATCAAAAGATTACATAAATCCTTAATAGGGAATATAATGCATCTTAAATTCATTTACATTCATACTTTGTTATTTTTACTTATATGCCTATTTAAAGCTGAAGAATGTAACGTTTTAACAGTGTCGCTATAAAAAGAGCGAGCCTAATCCTATACACTGTAAAAAAATAAGTGTAATTTTAACTGTAAAATTTTGTCAAAACGCTACACAAAAAAACTGTTAATAGGTTAACAGTAAGTTCCCGTACTATATACAGGGAAAAACTGTAAAATATCTAACCAGACATTTCATGTAATTTTACAGTAAAATGCTGTTAATTTGACCGTTTTTAGAAGTAAAAATAACAAATCAATGTATAATTTACAGTCAAAAACTGTAAACTGATATTCCCAGAATTCACTGCATGACACTCCACATTTGAAAGTATTTTGTTTAAATAATCATGTTTTTTAATAGTTTTTTTTAGTAAAATTTACAGTTTTTGGCCGTAAATGTGTTTACTGTTTTTCTGTATTTTTTACAAAATTATTCTGGCAACCACAGCTGCCAAAATTATTTTGTAAAAACTACAGAATTTTTTTTACAGCGTACACTACAATTCTGACTCGACCAATAGCGTGAGTTGTGGGCGGGGTTTATCTGTTTCTTCGTCAAGCGTCACTTTTACAGTTTGCTAGGTGGCGCTAGTGACGAAGAAATTAGCCTACATACTTCAGCTTTAAAAACAGGCAAAATAATGCTTCTTTAAAAATTATGTAACGTAATAATGCTGTTAGTTAATGTACAATCAAATATTTGGAACTGACATGAAACTTTGATAAGTAGGCCTATTTCCATTTATTTGAATGCACATGATTTACTGAAATATAAAGGGAGGTACTACAGGTGGATTTTTACTTGCAGCAAAATTAATCTGCTGTAATAAAATAGCCCACATAAGAACACAGTTTTTGCATTGTGACTTTACCCCTAATTAAATAATTGTTATAAAAAACTACAAAAAGTAAAAAAATAAAAAATTTAAACATAAAAATAAAAAATGAAAATAATCAAATCTGCAAAAATGTACATATTTGCTTATTAACTATAACAAAAGTGAGACCCTACTACAGAAAATATCAAATTTTTGTTTAATGTGATCAACAACTTAAAGGTTGATTGTCAGCTCCTTTTGTCAAAAGCTTAATTATTTAACAGAATATTTACTAAAACCCTTTTCGTGTAAATAAACATGTTTATTAAAAAAACTAAACACCAACAACTACCAGAATAAATATCACTTAATAAGAAAATTCTATTTAGGGTCTCTAATAAAATCGGCTATATGTTTTATATGAGCAAAATATCAAGAAACAGCCTCTGATATATGCAAACAATGTGAATTTCATAAAACAACTATATAGCCTATATATATATATATATATATATATATATATATATAGACCTGTGTGTGTGTGTGTGTCAAAAAGAGTCTCCCTA